AGCAAGAGCACAGACTTCTCTGCCCTGCCATTTACTCTGAGTGGCAGATCAGCCAGGAAGGGGGTGGGGCAGAGAAGCCTGAGCTGCTGCCGGGACTGGAGGGGGTGTGGGAAGTGAGGGCGCTGGGCCTGGTGAGTCTCTGGTTGATCCAGAGGAGGCAGGGCAGGAGAGCAGCAGTACCTGTGCTGCTCCCTTTATGAACTGGGACAAATTGGTTTGTGCCCATCTTTAGTTGTCTTCATTCTCTTCTTGGTGCTACTTGGTGAGAGTCGAACAACCGCATTCTCTCTGAAGATGAAAGGCTTCCTCTTCTTTCAGGGTCCTGTAACCTTTGATGAAGTTGCCGTGAATTTCACAGAGGCGGAGTGGGCATTGCTGGATCAAAACCAAAGGGCCTGCCACAGGGACGTCATGGAGGAGACGCATGAAAATGTGGTGTCTTTGGGTGAGCTTTGCTTTTTTTTCCCTTCAGTAGACAGATCCACAGTACAAATGGCACCAAAGAATATGTAGCCGATCACTGCTGTGGAGGTTCACAAGATGAGAGAGAGGAAAACTATGAAAGTTTTTCTTTCTGTAGCACAGATGTAAAGGTCTAAAGCTTAATCCTCGTTAATCCATACATTTCCCAGAAAGCAGACAGGAAAGGACCAGTGATAGCTCTGCCCCTTAACAGGAAAAGTATGTGGGGTTGAGAGGCAGACTTCTAAGAGTATCAGACTAACTCTCGGTGCAGGAGGTCTGAGAGTCAACAAAGGGACAGATCATTCTTTCCTCATGTTTACTTCCAAATTCTTCCTTCTGGTCAATTTGGGGTGCCTAGGTTCTAAGAGGCGATGCCAACCTGTTCAGCATCCCAAGGTGCCCCCTTCCAATGAGATTTTGTTTCTCTTATTTCAGCCCGTGAGGGAAGACACAGCGAGAACCAGGAAGAATTGTGTTGGATAGGCTTGGAAATATTCCTTTTTAAAGAGAGTCATCTTCAAGGAAGGAGAAGTGAAGCAAATACACACAGTAGAAATGAAGATTTAGCTTTTCCACTCAGAGATTCGCAAGATTCTCTGCTCCAGGAAAACAGAGAGAAAAGGAAGGAAACGAGTAGATGTTCTTTGGGCAGAAATAACTGTACTCTAAGTGCTGCTTGGACAATCGACATGGGAGGGAGACCGCTGAGAATCCCAGAAGGTGCCAAGAATCTTTCTGATCATTCACCCTTGGGAATTCATCAAACTTTTCAGAGCTTCGAAAGTAGAAAGAGCTTCCAGGACAGACTGAACCTTGTTTTCCCTCAGGGAACGGACACAGAGAAACCCTTTACATGTGTAGAGTGTGGAAAGAGCTACAGTCACAGGGCATCCCTGGCTTGTCATCTGAGGATCCACACCGTGGAGAAGCCATTTAAATGCTTGGAATGTGGAAAGAGTTTCCGTCAGGGTCCAAGGCTTGCCAGCCATGTGAGAATCCACACAGGGGATAAACCTTTTAAATGCCTGGAATGTGGAAAGAGCTTCCATCAGGTTCAAAACCTTGCCAGGCATGTGAAAATCCACACCGGGGAGAAGCCATTTAAGTGCTCAGAATGTGGGAAGAGCTTCAGTCGCAGGGCACACCTGGATTGTCATTTGAGGATCCACACTGGGGAGAAACCTTTTACATGCTTGGAATGTGGGAAGAGCTTCAGCCACAGCGCAACCCTGAATGACCACATGAGAATCCACGCAGGGGAGAAACCATTTCCGTGTTTTGAATGTGGGAAGAGCTTCCGTCACAGGGCAACCCTGGCTTGTCATCGGAGGATCCACACTGGGGAGAAGCCATTTAAATGCTTGGAATGTGGGAAGAACTTTTGTCAGGGTGGAAACCTTGCCAGCCATTTGAAAATCCACACTGGGGAGAAGCCATTTAAATGCTTGGACTGTGTGTCATTCAACCATGAATGACATTCACATTTTTTTTTGCAACTTGCAAGAATCGCTAGAATCCACACAGCTGAGAATGATGCAAAATTATTCACACTTTGAACATTAGATGCATTTATTATCTAGATGGAAACTATGATCATGTGTTGTCAATATCAAGTCCTGGGAAACACATTTGTCGCTCTCATAAAAATGCATAGCGTGCATCCTGAATTTATCTTTTTCAGATACTTTTTTAAAAAAATAATTTTGCACTACAACTCCCAGAATTCACTGTGAATTTCCCCAACCAGAATTCTGGCAGCTGTAACCAAAACCTCAAATCCACAGAGGAGTTACACCTGTGGCCCTTCAAGTTCTTTTCTGCAGCAGTGTCCAATTAGGATGCAGAGGAAGAAAGTGGGTGAGATTTGCTAAATCCCATAGGAGCTGCAAGGAAATAGGGGATTGGTAGTCTCTCCTCAGGGTACAGGGTGTCTCAAAAACTAGCAGTCCCCTAATTCCATGCAGCTCCCATGAAGCTTTGCCATCCCCATCCATTTCCCCCCCTCCAAAAGGTAGCCAAGTAACTGTTACACTGAAAAGCAAAACATATGAATCTCAGAGATAATTGAAGAAATAGGATACAAGACAGGTTTAGGTTTGATGCCCAACATAAGAGTAAAGGTTGCCGCCTATGTACACAGGAAGATTAAAACATACATACACCACTGGCAGGATAGCTGAGGGAGTTGAATTCAGAGGTTTGATTCACCCCTGTGCTCCCAAGTCAAGAGCCAGCCTGTGTAACCTTGTGCACGCTGTAGAGTCCCAGGGCACCCCTAGAACAAGAGAATGGGAAACCATTTCTGGTTACTCTATACTCAGAAGAGTTTCAAAACGTGGAAAAGACCACCCTAAGACATGATTGATTTGGCAGCACATATTGTTATTTATTATGATGACTAAGCCACCTATCTGATCTTTGATTAAGTAAAGTACCCATTCAATCAAAGGAAAACTGGATGATCTTCATACATTGTCCAATGTATGTACTGTATGCCTATGTATACAGGAAGAATAAAACAT